TTCTAAATATGGAGGGTAAAAATGATGATTTCGTGTAAATACTTCTATCAAATACCCAATTATTGGGCCAATTATTAACAACCCAATTACTCTCCTTCAAAATCAGGATTGGCTTTTTAAGGCTTGTAAGCTCTCCAATAGCTGCTCCAATTCAGATCTTAGCTTACCTCGGATACCCCAGCCGGAATGGCTGTTGATGGGCTCAACACTGACGCCCATCTCAATATTTAGGCAATTACACCATGAGTGAAAAATCATTGGATGGAAACTAATATTTTAGAAAAAATAGAGAATTTACTTTTGAGAGTGCATTGGACTTTTACCTTTTATTCTTAATAAATATTCTTTTATTAGTGTAATTATTTAAAAAAAAAAGGTTATAAATTAAGAATAAAGGGTAAAAATCTTGACTTATGCATATCCACAATCCAATTGAGTCTAATATAAATCCTATAAAATCCAGTCAATATATTCTAATGTACTACTATCATTTAACCAATCTGATCTTATATCTATTAGATTTGGATTGGATTGGATTGGATGATTAGATTAGCCTATACTTTGATTAAAACTTATTAAAATTTAGGCTTAGACAAAAGTACATAGTTTTCCATAATTTTACGTAAATATATTATTTATGTCATTTTAAATAATTAAATGTCACTTAATTTTTTTTCTTTCTTTTCATATTGAATAATAATTATTTATTTTTGAGTGAGTGGCATAAATAATATTTTTTATCATCTTAAATGGTATTTCTGGTTTTCCCCTAAAACTTACTAAATTTCGTAAAACTTACTCAAAAGGATAAATCCATATACTTTCAAGATAATTTATTCCTCCATCATCCATTTATCATCCAACATAAAAACCAAAATCATAAAAGATAGTAAACAAAGGATGAATCCATATATTGTTAACACAATTTGGTGATTAATCTTTATTTTAAATCTCATTTAAAATTAAGATAAATTCTCATTTAATTTTAAAATAATTTTCTCTCTCCTTGTAGTGTAGAATTCGGCCATCACAGGGATTTCTCCATGTGGTTTGCGTCACCTTATCCAGTAGGAGGAGAAAGAATTTATCATTTATCATGTTGTCTAATTGTGACTCAAATTCAAATTCTATTTAAAATCAAACTTCAAATATATTTGAATTTTAATTGGATAACTTGTCTAATAAGTAAACTAGATAATTTGGAGTGCAAGCAAATGAACCCAAGAGGGATTCTTCCTTGTTTAGGCGTGCACACTATTGTGGTCCCACCACATGTGTGTTTCAATATTTTCTATTAAATAATCATATTATATAATATCCAATTAATTCTCAATTAATTATTTTTGAGTGTTTTAATTTAGAATTCTATAATTCTAAATTTTTCATTTTATCCTTAATGTCTTGTAGATTGCAAGGATGACACTGAAACACATGAACGTATAATATCAAGCTCCAATAAAATTCATAATTATTTAAACTCTTTAATTAATAAATTAATTAATTCAATTAATTAGAAAGTTACTCAACTATAAACTTGTAATTGCACTCTTAATATTATAAACATTTATTTATATCTATAAAACGTTCATTTGATATAGTCACTTCATATAGATCTAATCTCCCTTCAATAATTCATAATTAGAGCAAGGTGAAATCTATTAACCTCTCTAATTACTTCTTTATCCTTAAGTACCATTGATTCTCTAATGGATAATGATTCATAAAATAAGTTCATGAATTAGAGCGCTTATTAATCCAAGTACCGAATCAACCTTTAAGAGAATTATTTATCTACTTCTTTTATCAAGAAAGAAAGGATTCCTTAATATATATTAACATTCTCAACTTCTTACTTCATCATGTCACTAAGATACAAGGAATAAGATTTAGTAATCTCAAAATCCATACCGAGTAAGCTAAAAGACATAAATCCATAATTAGGAGTTTATTAATAACTCGAGATTAAGATCATTTTATATATGACCATCGGTAGACTCAATTATAATTTTTATAATTAATGGAATTTATCGTAAATTTATATTGTGTGTTGTCTCAGTCCTACATGTTCTCATTATATAAGATACACTCATTTGATATCCCTACATATCAATGATAAGGATAAGTTTGTAGCATCCTTAATGGGAATGACGTGTATTAATAATGTTTTAATTAAAGATTATGAACTTTAATTAACTTCATATGGACTTATTTTGATTATTATCTTAAATATTATCCTCTAATATATAACACTTAATATACAATAGTTAAGATCACATAAATAATCATGAAACTTTCAATGATATTCATAAAGTATACAAAATACATGCAAATAAATAATGAAATTTCTCTTTTATTAAATAAATAATAATATCTTTTATTATATCTCATACTTTTAGGACACCATTCCTAACATCGACATCCAACTAAGCAACATGCAGTTGGAAATCTGTATCAAAAATCACAATCCCAGAGAATAAAAATGGCAAAAAACAAAACGTGAGTAATGCTGTAGTCGTCATCGAATTGGAGGCAAAGTCTCCCAAGGTCGGAGTCGGAGCTGATTTAGAAGAGATCGACGATGATGAGCCATTCTCGAAGAGAGAGAGAGAGTAACGATTGTCTAAGTGAGAAACAAAAGAAATAAAAGCCCTACAAGCACGGGTAAATTTAAAAATGAGTATCTTTTTAGAATGAAAATTTAAAATATGCTATAATTTACCATCATTAAAAAATATGCTATAAATTTCATATGCATACAAAAAGATGTTATTTGCTGCAGTTACTCTAAACCATATCAGGTTATCAATGTGCATATTCAAATTCAAAAACAACGAACTCTCTTAAAACTAGGGATAACAACAGAGCAGGACAAAATGTAAGCAATAAATTATTTTCAGTCCCCATCCCCATTTTCGTTTAAGAAAAGGAAAGGTTCGGGGAGGTTCGGGAATTCCTGTTAGGGGTTTTACTCATACTAGCCTCATTTTTCATCAAATACAACCATGTATTTAAAAATTATAGCGATTTTATCTAAAAAAGATATAGTAATTTAGAAACAAAAATAAAGTAGAAATTCACAATAAAATTAAACCAAAATCAAAGTTTCAACAAACCAAATCAAATCTTAATAATAAATCCACAAAACAACTAATTATGCTTCAAAAGTTAAATTTTTTTTATATTTATTTACAAAGAATATACATTTATATGAATTTCGAGATGGAAGAAAGGCAGAGAGTGTTTCCCTCATCCCTACCCCACAACGATTAAAAGACAAGATTTTGTTCCTATCTCCACTTCTATTTTAAATTGTTGTTTCTCATTCCCGCCCTTTCTAGATCGGGTCATCACGAAGCCCCATCCTGATGGAAAATATTGACATCCCTATTTAAAAATTTGTTCCTCTATTTCAACTTAAATTTAGGACAAAAATAAAAACATAAAAAGTCCAAAAACAAAAATAGAAAAAAAATGTCAGGAATATAGAGGTGGATATTTAGCATTTTCATGTAAATTAGATTTAGTACCATATTTATAATCAATTTATTCATTCATAGAATTTTGAGTTAAATTCATAAATAGTCCTTGAACTTTTTTCTCTCTCTAGAATTAGTCTTTATTAGTCAATTTTGTCTTATGAATTATCCCTGAACTTACAAAATGTCTCATAAAGTGGTCTCTAAGCTAAATTTTAGATGGAGACCGTTAACTTTATCTTATTAAAGGTCCCTAAATTATCTTCTCTCTTTAAAAATAGTCTTTATATTACAAATTGCATTAAATTTAATTCCTAAACTAAAAGAAGATATGCCAAAATTAATTCAGTTTTTAATAAATGATAAAAAAAATTAAATATGAGAAGTATACCAAATGTAGTTCCTAAAATAATAAAAAAAAACTACTGAATTAGTTTAATTGCTTGACATATCTGACTTTTTTCATCTATTTATTCACATATATGTCATTGTAATTTTTTTAAGTTATTATATTTACCCAACCATAATAGTAAATGTTCACATATTATTATTATTATTATCTGTTAATAATAATTTAAAATGTATGCTTTTATAAGTATCTTTTGTATTATACCTATTTTAATCTTTTAATCTCACAATCTATCACTTTAGTTATTTTTCTTAGTAAAAATCAAATTTCTATAAAAAAATAAAATTACAAACAAATATTATTCAAAACAAAACAAAACGCTGAGCACATTGACAATATATATCTTACCCCGTTGCTAAAATCTTTCAATACCAAATTAAGGGAAAGGTTCCCCAAAAAAAGAGTAAAAAAGAAATAACTGCAAATCACAATACAACAAAATGTATCCCACAATTATTTATAACATTGTTTTACTATAATAAAAAAATAATTGTTTATGTTAAGTTATTTAGAAATTTAATGGGTGTCTACAGAAGTACAAATCATGTTTTTTTTTTTTTTTTTGAGATTGTGTTTATTACAACTTCTCATATTTAATTTTATTACATCTATTATTAGAAGAAGTCAAGTCAAAAACGGGGGTTTTCACTTGAAAAACAGATTTTGTCTTCTAACGGTGGTTTGAAAAGCCACGTGGCCACCGTCTTCACCCTGTATCCGTCGTGGCTCAGCGAGAGCCACCGCGGTCCAAATTATTTTTTGCTCAATAACCTAATAATGCATTTCCAGCCCAAAAAAAAAAAAAAAAACCCTAATAATGCACCGGATGTTAGCCATGTCGCAATGTTCTATTATTACACGTCGACAAAAAGTCCTACCTTAATTTTTTTTTAAACGACGATTACCGAATAATCCTATTCCTAACTAATTGATAAGAATAACGAACCAAGCCATGCTATTGTGAAACAAATTGCTTAAACCGATAATGAAATTTTATGTGCGTCTTATTTTCTTAATGCTGTTTTATGATTAAACAATTTCATCTTCCCAATTGACATTTTCCTTTATAATTCCATTCACCACCCTCACGGCATTATGAAAATCTGTTGAAACTTTTTCTATTGTTTTTTTGTGGGTTTTGAACTAAATTACCAAAATCTCCCTTCTCTCGTCCAAGGAGAAAATAATATTGATGGCATAATATCTTGGTGGCAATTCCGTAGTTATTCTACTTTACATGGGTAGTTATAAGCCTTTAACAACATTTCCTAAAAACTTGCATCAGCCAATCCAATTGTCGTCCTGCGACTAATAACCCCAAAACTCCCATCAATTCGCCTCCACTGCGACGCCGGGAAAAGAACTGAGAGAGAGTTCCCAATCACCATCTCCATTTCTATCCAGAGAGAGAAACAGAGAGATGTGGCGGTGCGTTTCTCGAGGACTTCGTATTCCTTCATCATCATCATCTTCTTCTTCTTCCAACAGATCGCTCCTCAATGGCTCTCTGAGATCTCGCATTTCCAGATTCTTCTCCTCCGGATCAGTAAAATCCCCTTCTCTCTCTCTCTCTGTTTATATATATATATATGTATATATGTATCATAGTATTAGGGTTTGATTCTTTTCTTTTTATCGATCAAGGATGTTAATCTGAGCAAGTTATTGTATCTAGCTCATTTGTGCTTTTGTCGATTTTAAAGTTCTGGAATTTAATCCCATTTTGGCTGAGAGAACCTAAGCTACGAGTGAGATTCCTAGTTTATTGGAAAAAATCTATATATTTGGATTTTTTTTCTTTTTTAGATTGTGACAAAGTTGGATTGATTGGGATTGTTATTGATTGATTGCATTTCGGTTATGGCAGGCCCCGGGCGGCTCCTCATACACCGTCGTTGACCATACATACGACGCGGTGGTTGTGGGCGCCGGTGGTGCGGGGTTGAGAGCAGCTATTGGCCTCTCCGAGCATGGATTCAACACTGCTTGTATTACCAAGCTTTTCCCAACTCGTTCACACACTGTTGCTGCTCAGGTATCAGTTGTTCTCTCCTTTTTCTTTTTTTTTTTTTCCAGCTCAACTGGGTCTTGTGTATTGTAAATTCACCGGTGTTCTGAGATGAGTTTGGTCTACGAAACCCCTCGATAAGTTTGGTATCTTGGGTTGGTTTTTTGTAGTACAATAGTAGTTCAAATTCATCTTTATTTGTGGCAATCTATGATCTTTTATGGTAAGGGCTTACATTTTTGTGAACCTCAGTCTTTAGTTAATATGTAGATTCATAAAAGAGAAAGAGTTGTGTTCGGTTTCTTGAGAACTCTGCACAGTTCATTGATTTTTTAGTCATTTGTGTGTATCGGGTTGTCCTATGTTTGTTATTGGAACAAACCTATTGCATCTAGCTTCATTGAATTTTTGTAGCTATCTAAGTAGTTTAGTTTGACGTGTTCAATATGATTTACTTCTTTAGTTGGTTATATTTAGGGCGGTATAAATGCTGCATTGGGAAATATGACTGAAGATGACTGGAGGTGGCATATGTACGACACTGTCAAAGGAAGTGATTGGCTTGGTAGGTTGCCAGTTTAACTAGGCAAATATTTTTCTTTGTTTGCTTTTGATTGTTAATCTGATTAATTACCTTTCATCCATACGAGTTGTGCTTATTTCTTGCTTTGTATTAAGTTTTACTGTTTATTGGATTAACGTGTTCTTATTGTAGCTGCACTCTGCATATTTTCTGATTCAATGATAGGTTTGCTAAGCTGCTAAGGATTTAATAGAAATCATACTACATGATCCTATAAAAGCAATGCAAAAGTATCAAACACATAAAGGCGGGTCATGTTTTAATTTCCTTGAAGAGAACCTCCAGCTTTAAATTTTTCTCTATATCTTGGTCCGGAATTAAAAGGTCCTAAGCATTCCAACAATAATCTATCTCATGTAGAACGTCTATATACACGCATACAGATGCATATATGATTATCCACTTGCTTTAGTATTCTTCTTTTGGGTGTACGTTTTATGTGAAAGTATTTTGTTTAAATAGGTGATCAGGATGCCATCCAGTATATGTGTAGGGAGGCTCCAAAAGCTGTGATTGAGCTTGAAAATTATGGGCTGCCCTTTTCTCGAACTGAAGATGGTAAAATATACCAACGTGCATTTGGTGGACAAAGTCTTAACTTTGGAAAAGGTAAGATGATGCATCTGATCTTCAATTGAAGCTGGTCAGCTTGTAATCTCTGTGGAGAGCTGATATTACTTTATTATATCTTGGTAACCTTACAGGTGGACAAGCATACCGTTGTGCATGTGCTGCTGATAGAACTGGGCATGCTTTGTTGCACACTCTCTATGGCCAGGCTATGAAACACAATACACAGTTTTTTGTGGAATATTTTGCTCTCGATCTCATAATGAACAGTGATGGTCAGTTGATGCATAAAAACTGGGATTCTCTATTTTGACAAAATCGTCTTTATTTATTTCATGATTGGACTAGAGGATGCAGAACTTCAACATAATAAAAGCAATTGAGAAGTGGATTTCACGGTCGAAAGTTAAAGCATTTCTTCTCTGAAGTTGCAATATTTAATATTTGAATCATGTTAAAAGGTGGTTGTAGGAATTAAACAGCACAAGTTTTTGCTTATAATGAAATCAGTATCCAAACCTTGACCTTTGTGTCCGTCTAATGGCCTTGTTGTCTTTATTATATGCTTAATTCTTACTAATCCATATGATTATCAAATGTGCTTTCCAATGTGCTCTTAAATTTCCTCTCTTCTCTATGCAATCTACTTTTGGTTGCTTGTTTTCTGCGCTCACGTCCTCAGCTAGTTATTTTTTATTATTTTATCACTATTATTTCTATTTTTTGGAGTGTGGAGTGTTTGATTTTGTAATTGGATGAATAGGTACCTGCCAAGGAGTAATTGCATTGAATATGGAGGATGGTACATTGCATCGTTTCCATGCTGGCTCAACTATTTTGGCCACAGGGGTATTTCATTTTCTTTTTCCGCTCATTAGGTATATGTATTATAGTACTTATTTCAATGGTGCACTAACATATACCTCTATCTCTGTTTCCCTCCCAGGGTTATGGTAGAACATACTTTTCCGCAACCTCAGCACATACTTGCACTGGAGATGGCAATGCCATGGTTTCACGAGCTGGGCTCCCTCTCCAGGTTCTGTGAATTTTTTATACATTTTTTTTTTCCGACTCAATCTTAATTGAGTTTCCATTTTGCTTGCTTGCAATTCGTTATATATTTTTGTCTCATTTGTGTATCCCTCCTGCAGGATTTAGAGTTTGTTCAATTTCACCCAACAGGTATATATGGCGCTGGGTGCTTGATCACTGAAGGTTAGTACCGGTTCAAATTTCTATAGAATTGGTAATCTGGAATTAATTTTGGATGCAGGATCTCTCAATTGTTTAAATGTTCTATCGTCCTGTTCTTTTAATTGCAACATGGTCATGACGTGAAGCTATCATGCCCTTTTCTGGTTATATTTTCAACCTGTAGGCTCTCGTGGGGAAGGTGGTATTCTTAGGAATAGTGAAGGGGAGCGGTTTATGGAGCGATATGCCCCTACAGCAAAGGATCTTGCTTCGAGAGATGTTGTTTCAAGATCTATGACTATGGAAATCCGAGAGGGTCGTGGTGTCGGTATGGCATGTTCCAGAACGTGACACATTCATTTTAGTTGCTAGCATGTCCCATATTTTTGTCTTCTAATACTAATGGGTTGCATCAACTAAGCTCTTTGGTGTTTACTGCTTTGTTGTAACTTGTACTCGAGTAATTTATAATAATAATCCTCAACAGGACCTTTGAAGGACCATATTTACCTCCACTTGAACCACTTACCACCAGATGTGCTCAAGGAGAGGCTTCCTGGTATCTCTGAAACTGCCGCCATATTTGCTGGTGTTGATGTCACAAAGGAACCCATTCCCGTCTTACCCACTGTGCATTATAACATGGGTGGTATTCCAACTAACCACCATGGAGAGGTATAACTAGAATTGTCGATTTAAAATTGTTTCCAATATTCTTCATAACCTTCTGTCGAAAACAAATTGTTTCCAGCTATTATTTCTCTTTTCGGAGTACCATACCAAATATTGTTAGGAATGTTTTTGAAGAAAATCCCAAGTACATGGGATCACTATTAGAAGTCATCTCACCAAACTTAAGAAAATCAAGATCAAAGATAATGAATCAATTTAGCTTTTGCAAAGTGACGTGCATTCTGATGTGTTAATGATGTGATGACTAGATGACTAGGAAGGGAAGGGCCTAACTGCAGGTGATTCACTAAATTTATGCTTTTGTGTGCCTCTTATGCCGCAGGTGGTTACTATTAAAGGTAATGATTCAGATGCAGTAGTTCCTGGATTGATGGCTGCTGGAGAGTCAGCCTGTGCATCGGTTCATGGTGCCAATAGGCTTGGTGCAAATTCCCTCCTTGACATCGTTGTCTTTGGACGTGCTTGTGCAAATAGAGTTGCAGAGATTCAAAGACCAGGCAAGTTTAATTTGTCATTGAGATTTTTAATTCTTCTTTTTATTTCTTTCAGCTGAGAATAGAAAAAAAAAATACAATTGTTTAGGTAAACACATATACCATTCATACTAAGATTCAATTTCTTGTGCTTCTGCAGGAGAAAAACAAAAGCCTTTGGAGAAGGATGCTGGCGAAAAAACCATTGCATGGTTGGACAAAATAAGGAATTCCAATGGGTCTATACCAACTTCAAATATCCGGTTAAACATGCAGCGCATCATGCAAACTAACGCTGCTGTCTTCCGTACACAAGAAACTCTAGAAGAAGGTAAGTTACCCCTAAGCCTGCAACCCTTAAGACTCAAACCAGTTGAGTTGTAGTTTTCCTCAAGTCTAGGCGACGAAATGTGACTCATGGAACCTTATTTATTTTCAATTGTCATTATACCTTCATTGCTTTTATTGTTCTGTAGGTTGTCAATTGATTGACAAAGCACGGAAGAGTTTCCATGATGTTAAATTGAAGGACAGGAGTTTGATATGGTGAAGTTTTGAGAATAAGGATGTTGAGTTTTTTGTTTTTGTTTTTTGGTGGTGTGTGCATGTGTTTGTGTTCTCTGTTCTGATTTCAAAAACTTTTGACAGGAACTCTGACTTGATAGAGACTATAGAGTTGGAAAACCTTTTGATAAATGCCTGCATCACCATGCATTCTGCTGAGGCCAGGAAAGAAAGCAGAGGAGCACATGCTCGGGAAGATTTTACAGTCAGTATTCTTCCTCTTTTAGTTAATAAAATGACCGTTCCTACCTCTTTTATTTAAAAATGACCATTGTCTACCACTTTTTATACATTAAACAAATTTCTTCCCGTTGTGCAGAAACGAGATGATGAGAACTGGATGAAACATACTTTGGGGTAAGTCATTCCACCTTCATAAATTCAAGTTCACTTGGATTCCAGATAAATTTTGTTTTGTTTTAAGATTGAATGTTTTAAGCTGATGATGGGGTTCGATTAGGGAACTGGAACTATAACAAGAGAATTAAATATTTTAACTTGTATTGATTATCACTTTCGTTTAGATAAGCTTTGTCTCATCAAAAGATAAGGTACGAACTTGAAGAAATGCAGAAACTTTCATATTGGAAGAATTGTGGGATTGGAATACCAAATATAAATAGAATAACACTTTGTCACGAGCTTATTGTGAAAAATAGTTTAGCTTGGATTCCCATAACTTATTACTCTTTCTCCCATCTATATAAGATTCAACATATGAACTCGAGTCTTGCAATATTCCATACAAGGCATAAGAAAACTTGTTAAACGATAACGCCTGTTCGCTTGAACTCTTAACAATTAACCAAGTTTGAATTACTTTCTACGCAGATATTGGGAGAACGAGAAAGTCCGGCTAGATTACAGGCCGGTTCATATGAACACATTAGATGACGAAATTGAGACATTCCCTCCTAAAGCTCGGGTCTACTGAGACTGCCCTTTGAGAAGAGAGCGATAGGTTAAGCAGCAAATGTTTCCAAGCATAGAATAACGCATCTGGAAAGAGAGCAGATTGTTATAGGAACAGCTTTCGATGAATAATTGTTGTATTTAAATCATTGTCAAACTGATATGAGCCAAAGTGTCGATAATTATCGCTAAGAGATTGGTTTTGTATTTGCATTTTGCAGCGATGGAAAAAAATTTCATTTTGGTTTGTTTACATGGTTTGGGTGCAATCAGTGCATAGGTTGGACTTTTGGTTTGTTTTTTAAGTTCGTTTTTTTTTTCCCGCTTGAAATTTGTTTTTGAAGTTGCTGTCGTTTTTTTCTGACTTTTTTCTGGGCTAAATTTTGCCGCAAACGAAGTATTTAAGAATTCAGATTTGCTATAGTTTGAGAACACATTTGCGCACAGATTCTGTTGTCGAACATTACGGACGACATGTATTTTCGTGTAAGGACTGGTGGAGTTGTCGTTTTTAAGTTTACTGTCTTTCAACTTTCACGCAAAAAAGTTATAACAAAACGGCACCAAACACATCTTTGTTCCTTTGAACGAAACGTAGTCTATAATCCAACATGCCCCCTTGTGATTTTCTGTTGTTCGTGTTAATTAAAAAAGAAAAAATTGTTGCTTAAGAATCTATTATCTAACTTTAACTTCGCACGGTTTCTTACTTGTCGAATTTCTGTTTTGCAACGGCGTATAGTTAGCTGTCGTTTATCATGTAGCTGTTTTCCAAATTATCTCCTATTCTACATATTCTGAAAGAGAGCAGTACTGTACAGTGTTATGAACAGTAAAGCTTTGTTTTTAACCTCTTAAATATAGATTTACAATTTTGCTCTTTAATATTTGTTTAACCCACACGTTCCTCGTTGGCATTTACGTCTATTTGTAGCAGGAACTTTTTTTATGCTCTTCCTTTCCGTGAAGCTTCTGAATTTCATCATTTATGTGCATTTTTTTCCCTCTCTCTCTCTTTCTTTCCGTGAGGCTTATGGGTTTCATTTTTTATGTCCATTTCTTTTTTCTCCTTCTCTCTGCAGATCTTTTTCTTTGTTGCTTCCATTTTCTTTTGCTCATGAGTTATTTTGTTTCTTAAGAAATTTTTTTCTTCCTTTTTTGGCTCTTTGGTGAACAATTTTTCGACTCTATTTGTTTTTTTACTAAGTCTTTTTTTTTGTTTCTCTTTTATTTATTTATTTATTTTTATTTTTTATGTTTGTTTTGGTGCTTCTCTTTTGCTCTCTGGATTTCCATGTATGTTTACCATGTTCTTGGCTGGTATTTATGTTTGTTTGTGGCGGAAAATCTTCGTTTTAAGAAAAAAAAGTTCCTTTACAGATTGGGTGAGATCCATAGCCTAAAATTTTTTTCCCCTCTCCATTCTTTAACGATTTGGTCTTTATTTTCTTCTATGATGGTATTGTTTTTTTCTTACATATTTTTCATAATATTTTAGTTTTTTTTTTCTTTTTTGACTTAGGCATCGTTCATTTTCGATTCGAGTTTTTAGTTCTAAGTTTTTACATAAAAAAATTTTTAAAAAATATCACATCTAATTTTTTCTGTTACAGTATAAAACTCTCAGTAAATATCACATCTCAATTCGAAGTCGCGAAATGAATGATGCCTTAATTTTTTAAAAAATAATACGTTTTTAAAATTTCTTAAAATTTCTTTTAATGTTTTTTAAGAATATTTTTTTTTTTTTGCATTTCTTAAAATTTGTTCCTATGATTTTGGTTTTTTTTTCTTTTGAGTATTTTATTTTAAGAGGTTTTTTTTTAGGGTATTTTTTTTAAAAATCTGTTATTTAAAATTTTTGTTCATATATTTTTTGGTTTTTTTATGGATTTTTTTTAAAGAGGCTTTCTTTTCTTTGGGATTTTGTTCTTTTTTTAAAGAATTTTTGGCCCAAATTTTTTTTTTTTGCTTTTTGTAAAATTTTTCCCTCATTATTTTTTTCGGATTTATAACTTTTTTTGTTTAATATGTTATTTTGAATTTTCTTATGTATTAATAGCCTTAATTTCTATTGTTTTAGTATTTGTATCAGGTTTATAAATTTACAGGTATATTTTATTTCCTCCCTTTTTATATAATAGATATCCATTAGCTTACTGTGAGAAGTTTATTAGTTTTGTTTTGCAGTGAGATTTATGCTTTATGACATATGTCATAATATATTCATTATTCTAATTGATTTTGTTTTACAGGGATTTGTATAGGAGAATGAACGAAATTTGTTAGGATTATATTTTCACGCGAATATAACATTATCTTTAGTTATGTTTAATTCAAATATGATTTTTTACTGTTTTTTCTTTATTGATTCTATTATGCGGTGCCCTCCATGCTTCATGACACATGTCATGCTATAATCATCACATTCGTTGATATTTATTTGAACGGTTTTATGGCGGTTTTCCATGCAGATTTTAGTCATTCTGTCGATATATATTGGTCTTCATTTTATAATCGTTCTTCGTATATTACTTTCTATCCTTCTTACCGTTATATGTTTTTTTTTTTTTTTACAGTTTCAAAAAGTTAGTGGTGTTAGAGTTTTCTTACTATTTCTACTACGTTTTGGATATTCTCTTACTATCTTTTCCTTCCTGAATTTTTAACGTTAGGTTGTTTTGTCTACCTTTCTTTCATCTGCAATACTTGGTCTTATGTTTCATCTATTCTGTTCAGTATCCTTCTTTCACAAAGGTAATATATTTGTACTATTTATGTGCATTTTCTAGCTATTTTAAATAAGTGCTTTATAATGTTAGTCATTTGCTACATGATTTTATTTGCTTATTTGTTTATATACTTATGTTTAAATTTTTCTATGATCTTTTATTTATATGCTTTGTCAATTTTCTCTTTCTGTAGTCGTTTACTGTTTATATTATTTTTAATATTGTTATTTAGCTATATGTTATGTCTATATATATATTGTAATTCTTTTTCCTTCTTTTTGCTATGTTAACAGTCTACCTTTTTTAAACCCTTTACTGTATTTTCGTTATGATCATGTATTTATCTCCTACTATAAGTATATATTGTGTGACTGTTAATAGATACTTGTCTCTTCTTGATGCTGCCCGGGTTAAATTGGTTTTATGCCTTTACCTATTACTATTTTTATTTGTTAAGTTTTAGTGGTATTTTATATTGAATTTGTACTTTAGTTGCCTTACGATCAATATTTTCGTAACACTTTTTACTCATTTTCATATATCATTATTTAAAATTTATACTGTGTTTTATATTGAATGATCTGTATCCTTTAGTAGTTCAAATTCATGAATCTGTTAAAACGTTTTTACTTATATATTTTTTCTTATATGTGTATGCTTTGTAATTTATGTGTAAATGAAAAATAGAAACAATATTTTTCTCTTTTGATGTTCACCATAAATCCTGTAATAACTTAAATGGCAGCCAAGTATGTTGCTAGGCCCTATTTTTGTTATATTTGATATATATATATATATATATATATATAGAGGAATATATAGAGGTAAGATTAGGAGATAAATATCTGAACCAACTAAATAATGAATATTTATTTTCTTTGTTTATGTTATGTTGATATTAAAATTAATAGCCAGCCATATTTTTGTTATGTATATGTGAGTATAAATAGATTAGCATTTATTAACCTAAGTATATTATAAAGACTATTTTGATTTACTTTTTTATAGCATATTTATCTTGATAAATATTTATTATATTATAATGTCTACTGTTCTATTTTTTTTATTTGAGGCACATTGGGTGCTACACTTTCAAAATCATATTACACATATTCTAAAAGAGAGTCTGAAGTGTTACTGTTTACTGTACAGTGTTGTATATGTATAGTTTTTCACTTCTTAAAAGCATAGCTTTTTTTAAAACTTTTACTTTTTCTTGGTGATGATGATGTATTTTTCTTCTACTGTAAGCATATATCATGTAATTGTTAATAGAGGCTTGGCTGGTCTTGATGTTGCCCGGGTTATTTTGGTTCTATGTCTTCATCTACTACTTTTTTTATCAGTTAGCTATTACTGTTTTTTTTGTAATGATTTTGTAACTTCTTCGCTTTCAGGTCAATGTTTTTCTAACATTTTTCACACATTTTCGGACATTATTTTCTATCATTTGCTATGTTTTTTATATTTAATGACTTTTATCCTTTAGTACTTCATATTCATGTTTATGTCCTTACATTTTAACTTACTTATTTGTTCTTAAATGTCGCTAATTTGTACTCTTTCTGTAAGACAAGATTTTATATGATAATCAACGTGAAAGAAAGGAAAAGGACTTAGCACCGGATTTTATTTCATCTCAAGGTTTAATCTTTTTAGTTGAAGGAGATAGAAATTGTGTACTTAATAAAATATCATTGTTGCTTAATGTAGAAGAAGATCTAAAGACATTTATTGAAGCTATGTCTTCAAGGGATGCCTTCTTTTGGAGAAAGGTTGTGAATGATGAAATGAATTCGATTATGTCGAATTAAACTTGGATCTTGGTTGATCTTTCTCCGAGATTAAAATCAATAAGCAACAAATGGGTGTTTAGAAGAAAGTACAATATCGATAGGTCTATACAAATATTCAAGGCTAGATTGGTAGCCAAGGGCTTTAAATAAAAGCATGGTATATACTACTTTGATATATATGCTCTGGTAGCTAGATTGACATCTATAAGAGTGCTATTTGCAATAATATCAATATACAATTTGCATGTGCATCAAATGGATGTTAAGACAGCTTTTCTAAATGGTGATCTTGATGAGAAAATCTATATAGAACAACCCGAAGGGTTTGTATTGCCTGAAAATGAGAAGAAGGTTTGCAAGTTAATCAAGTCGCTTTATGGTTTAAAGCAAGCACCAAAACAGTGGCATGAGAAATTTGATAATGTCATTTTATCTCATGGTTTTAAGCATAATAATGCGGATAAATGTATATACTCTAAATTTACAAATTATTTTGGTGTGATTATATGTTTATATCTTGATGACTTGTTTATCTTTGGAACAAACATGCAATGGGTAAATGATACCAAGAAGTATCTAACTTCACAATTTAAGATGAAAGATCTTGGTGAGGTAGATACTATTTTAGGTGTGAAAGTGAGGAAGCATAGTGGGGGTTACTCGTTGTGTCAATCTCATTATATTGAGAATGTGCTTCTTAAATTCAATCATTTGAAGTTTAAAGA